TTTAGTGGAATAACTCCAGGGCTTTAGTGGAATAACTCCAGGGCTTTAGTGGAATAACCCCAGGACATTAGGGTAATAACTACAGGCCGTTAGTGTAAAAACTCCTGGGCTTTAGTAAAACTCCGGGGCGGTAGTGTAATTGCCACTTGAGTTGATAAAAAAAAGACAGGAAAAAAAAATCTCTTCCATGAGTGAGTATGCAACCCGGTGCACATCGTGCGCAATGTATGCATTTCTTGAGCAAGCGTTTGAGGGTGAATAGACGCGAGCTAGTTTGTTTCGAAGCCCAGATTTTGGATCTAAACAACCAACATGGAAAGGAGTCTGGACTTGATGCACTAGGCTCTGGTGGAGGGCAGCCTAGATGAGGAGGGGGGTTTGGAGGATCAGGATCGCGAGGTGGGTAGTTGGGTTACCATTAGAAGGAGGGGTAGAGAGGCGAGAGAGGTCAGTTCTGAACTGATACACCCCAATAAATACACCAGGTTGCAGGATGTTATGGATATTAGTTCAGGGGCGACACTGCTGGAGCAGGACGCCTCCTCTATCCGCAGGGGGAGTGATTGCTCCAGCAAGGATGGGAGCAGGATGGAGGGTCAGGAGAGACAGATTTTGGTGGTGGGGGATTCCATCATCAGGCGGACAGACAGGGTGATCTGTCATCGGGACCATGAGCGTCAAACAGTTTGCTGCTTACCGGGGGCTCGTGTTCGACACATTGCGAAACGCATGTACAGGTTACTGGATGGGGTTGGGCACGAACCAGCTATCATGGTGCACATCGGCACCAATGACCAAATAGGAAGCAAATGGAGTGTCCTAAAAAGTGAGTTCAGAGACTTAGGTTCTAGGCTGAAGAAAAGGACCTCCACGGAGGTAATCTCTGAGATACTGCCGGTGCCACGAGCCACTCCAGAGAGACAGCGAGAGTTGAGGGAACTGAACAAGTGGCTACGGAGCTGGTGTCAGAAAGAGGGCTTTGATTTCCTGGAGAACTGGGCTGACTTCTCAGTCGGTTACTGGCTCTACAGCCGAGACGGGCTGCATCTTAACAGGGAAGGTGCAGCACTTTTGGGGGGAAAAATGGTTAAAAGACTGGAGGAGCTTTTAAACTAGATAATGGGTGGAGGGAATAAAAATAGATAAAATTAATATAGTAAGTAACTCCAGGGGCAATTAATATAGAGGGCTGTAATACAAGGGGGGAAAGAGAGCTCACTCCAGTCAATATAGTCAATATAGTTAATCTAATCGCTCCAATTACTCAAATTAGTAAGGTATCACTCATACCAAGGTCCAATAAAAAAAAGTAGTGGGGCACAAGAAAGTAGTAAACAAATCAAATGTATGTACACCAATGCTAGAAGCCTAGCAAATAAATTAGTAGAGCTCGAAGTTATGCTACTCGAAGAGGACTTCAATATAGTGGGAATAGCTGAAACTTGGCTAGACAGCACTCATGACTGGGCTACCAATATAGAAGATACAACCTGTTCAGGAGGGACAGGGTTGTGAGAAGGGGGGAGGGGGGATTTGCATGTATGTTAAAAATAATCCAAATATGCACATACAGGATGATATCATTGCAGAGAGTAGCGAAGGCATGAAGTCCTTGTGGCTAGAACTAGATAGGACTGATGCTAGTCGTAAACTAATTGTGGGTGTTTGTTATAAACCCCCAAACATTGGGGAAGAGGAGAAAGTTCACCTACACTCCCAAATACAAATAACTACGAAGCAGGGTAATGTTGTTGCAATGGGCGACTTCAATTATCCGGACATTGATTGGGCTAATGGAACCTCTCATTCGGTAAAAGTTTTTTGAACCTTTTCATGGATCAGATGGTTGAGGTTCCAACTAGGAAAAATGCAATCCTAGATTTAATCATTTCCAATAATGCGGAGTTAGTTGAAGATATTGCAATTAGGGAGACACTGGGTAATAGTGATCACAATGTGATTACTTTTAATATTGGGTACAGAAAAGAGAAGTGTGTCAGTTGGACATGAACACTAAACTTCAGATAGGCAAACTTTGATAAGCTGCGCCAGATAGTATGCGACACCGAATGGGACAACTTATTTCTCAGACTGAACACTGACCAGAAATGGGATTGTTTTAAGAATATATTACATAATGCTATTGCCAAGTAATCCTGCATGGCTAAATAAACCAGTAAAACAACACATTAAGGACAAGAGAGTGGCATTTAACAATATAAGATGGAGGGGACAGCACTGACATTCCAGAACTACAAGGAATGTAATAAAAGATGTAAACATGAAATTCTGGCATCTAAAATAGAGTGCGAAAAGCATTGCCATGTGTTGTGATCTTTGTGTTGCAATAAATATACGCCTGTATCATTTTATCACAACACAAACACCAACACAGCGTGAAAACAATTTTTTAACATAAGTCGCTTATTTACAGTTTTGCGTACCTTAATTTTTTTACATTTTCGCAAAAAGGCGCCATTTCAAATTTGCAAATATTTGTTATTTATTAACTCAATGCAGTTTTATCTTTTAGATTTAGTCAGAAAATTATTTTTGTGTGTGCGCTGATACTGATTTTAGTGTGTTTTATCAATTGAATTGTGTATTTTTATCGGTTTAATATTAATTTGAGAAACATTTGCGCAATTATCGCAGGGCCTACAAATTTAGTATCGCCAGCTTTTTATTCTACCGGGCCTGCGCTTTCAGAAAATATATGGTTTGGGGGGTCTTTTACAAACGCTAACAACGCAGCAGTTGAAAATAAAATCAATGGGAAAAGTTGCCGGCATCTGGAGCCTCTCATCCCTGCCTGGAGCCGCTCCAGGTAGGGATGTGTGACTCCATGGATCCCCGCTGCTGTCCCCCGCTTGTAGGGGCTGTGGCAACGGGGATAAAAAAAACATCTCCAGGGTTAGGGGGTGGGGCGGAGCAAGGAGCAAGCGCCGGCTGGCGGGAAGAAGCCACAAGTTTCAGGATGGCTGAGCGGTGAGGAGAACGGAGCCGCTGTCATCCTGTCAGTTTCCGGATGACAGCGGCTCTGTGCGTGGCCGTACGGAGGATCGATAAGTATCATTGATATTTACCGATCCTCTGTGCAGCACAAACACCGGAGTGATCGCGTGATCACTCCGGTGTTTGTAAATAACTGGGATGTCAGTTTCCAGATGACAGCGGCTCTGTGCGTGGCCGAGCGGGCGATCGATAAGTATCAATGATATTTACCGATCCTCTGTGCAGCACAAACACCGGAGTGATCGTGTGATCACTCCAGTGTTTGTAACTAACTGGGGACACATAGGGGGTTATTCACAAAGCTGCCAAAGGCAGACGTGTGAATAACCAACCCGAAGTAAAGTGAGCCGAATGCCGTTCGGCTATTCACTTCAGGATTGTACAGCTGATTTCAGCCGTACACCGACTGAAATCAGCCGTACAACGGCTTGCTGCGGCTGGGGTTGGGGCGGCCGAAGTGCAGAAGGAGTTTGAAATGGCTTGGCCAGCTGATTTGAAAAATGTTTCGGAGGGCTTGGCAGCGAAAGGGTTAATAAAAAGAATTTACAAAAAAAAAAAAAAGAATACGATCACACATGGACTCATACACAGGCATACACATGCAGAATCACATGCATACACGCAATAGGTTCTGATGAAGGGGGCGTGCCCCAGAAACGCGTAAACCTTTTGCTAACACAGGGATAGAGGACGCTGGTGAATTTTATCACTCCAGACTCTCCCTGCCAGAGGTTCTGACTTCTCATCCTACTCTACTGGTTTTTATTCAACTGAATTGTTGTAAGTACAGCCTTAGAGCTGCGTGTTTT